ATAAACTGTGGGTACAGGAAGTACTCTCTTAGGAAAAGAATGGTTGGTTTGAAGTTTGAAGGACTCTAGTCTTAGAAAAAGTCAGAAGGGAATCACAAGCAAAGGAATAACATTCATGAATGTAAAGAGATATGAATTACAGATATCATGCAAGGGAGTCATGATTGCTGAAACTAGAGAGGCAGAAAGGGAGTACAAAAGACTGGATGAGGTGCTAAAGATGTTACTAAAATACTTTTTAGGAATGGGAGCCAGAGGAAGCCTTAAACAGCTATATGGTATACTTTGCTTGTTAGATAGCTTATCCTGGTTGCTGGGTGGAAAAAGAATTTAAAGAGGCCAAAATTAAGTGGGTGATGCAACAGTTCACCTATTTGCTGATGAGACCATAAGAACATTATAATCAGGATGGAGAGAAGGCAGATTAAAAAAAAAAAAAGAGTTACAAGGAATCTGGACACAGATCTTATATTCTTCACAAGAATTAACTCAAAATGTATTATAGACTTACTTGAAAATGCAAAATTATAGAACTTTGAGAAGATAACCTAAGAGAAAATCTAGGCAACCTTGGATATGGTGATAACATTTTTAGATACAGTATCAAAGGTACAACCCATGGCAGAAAGAATTAATAAGCTAGACTTCATTAAAATTAAAAATTTCTGCATTGTGTAAGACAGAAAAAGTCAAGAGAAAGAAGATTGGGAGAAATTATCCTTATTTTGCAAAATGCACACCTGATAAAAGTCTATGATCCAAAATATACAAAGAATTCTTAAAATTTAACAGTAAAAAAATGAACAACTTAATAACAAATCTTTGAACAGGCAGAAGATACACAGAAGGCAAATAAAGATATCAAAGATGCTCCACACCATAGGTCATCAGAGAAATGCAAATTCAAACAACAGTGAGATACCACCACATATGTATTAGAATCGCCTAAATCCAGGGCACTGACAGCACCAAATGCTGGCTGGGATGTGGAGCAACTAACATTCATTGCTGCTGGATGAAAATGATATAGACATTTTGTAAGACAGTTAGGCAGTTTCTTATAAAACTAACATACTATTACCAGACATACTAGCAGTTATGCTCCTTGGAATTAAGTGAAATGAATTAAAAACTTACATCCACATAATAACCAGCACAGATGTTTATAACTGGTAAAAATTCCCAGTGCTTGAAAGCAGTAAACATGTCATTCAGTAGGTAAATGAAATACGATATCTCTAGACAATATAATATTACTCAATGCTTATAAGAAATGAGCTACTGAGCCATGAGAAGACATGGAGTTTTCTTAAATGCTCATTGCTAAGTGAGAGAAACCAATCTAGAAAGCTTGAACAGTGTGTGATTCCAACTCTATATAAAAGGTTTTGGGAAGAGGACAGATTAAATTGGGATTTGGGAAGACATACCATTGACTATATTCTCTAGGTAGTCCAGAGACGGGACTCTGAACCTCAGAAAATATGTCAGAGCTCGAATATGCCAGCTCTGAAGAGATAATCCTGGAAATGGGTCTGAGGAAAACAAACCGTGAAGCCGGAATGAACTTTGAGCTGCGACTGATATTAAGGTTCTGGCAAAAAAGAGAAAAATATGAAAGAACCAAAAAAGGAATGGTGAGAGATGAGGGTATATAAATTAGTCACTTAAGTAACATAGTAGTGATTGTATAGTAATTTATTTTTCCAAATAATTTTTATCAGAAATTTTACTTGCTTCTCAAGTTGAACATAGGGGAAGCAAGGTGCCAGTTCTTACAGTTTTTACTCCTTTTTAAAAATTAATAAGATGTTAATTTCTTCATAATCTCCTTCATAGGTTCTCTTTACTTAGTGCAATTGTGAATAACAATATCCTCTTCATTGTGTTTTCTACATCATTCCTAAATTGTTTTCATCTATCCTAATTGTTTCCATTTCCTTTATAAATTGCTTACACAAATCATTCTTCTTAGTATCAAGATTTGCATATCCAACTCTGTATTGAACATTTTCATCAAGAAATTCCATAAACTTCTCCTCCCGGTTCCCCTCTGTCAATGGCAACAGCGTTAATCCAGTTACCAAAATCCAAAATTAAGAAATTACCATTGGCCTTCCTTGACCTTCAGTCCCTACATACAGCTAATCTTCAAAGTCTATTTCTTTTCCCTCCTACCTTTCAAGTCTTTCCACTGTTTTCATTCCATCAATGCCTTTCAGATTAGGACACCAGTTTTCTTCCATAAACCATTCTTCAACCATTTCCTGATTCTGCTTTCAGTCTTTCTCCTTATTTAGTCCATTGTCAACACTGCAGACAATTGAAGCATTGTCATCTCCCCCCTTGTTTAGAGCCTCCACATTTTCTGGCCTAGGTCCTTGCTACATGCCAAAGCTCTTTTAGGGCATATATGGCTCTTCAAAATGTGGTAACTCTTAGTCCAAATTCATAACTTATCTCTTAACCATATTTTATGTTCCTACTGGGTGAAGCATGTGGATCCCTGAACAAATATGTTAGTTCTGGGCTTTCTATTCTATTTGATTGTCACACCCCTAGTTTTTTTCCCTTTTGTAATTTCCATCATGTACACACACACACACACACACACACATATACACATTCTAGTAGTGGATGTGATACCGTTCTAATAACCTGGTTATTAATCAACAAAAAAGGAGTAAAGGAAAGGCCAGATAATATGGGCATGACATTTGTACAACTTCTCCAGGAAGCTTCAGTTTAACACTCTCCATGTCTGGTTCCCACAGAGCCTGGGAAAGGGGCTGGACATGCCCAATAAGGTCTGAGTGGCCTGGGAAAAGTGCTTGCCTGTCAATCATACTTGGAAATAGGGCATTGGCCAGAGTAGGCATGGAGGCATGGGCAGCGCAAGCACAGGAAGGTTTGATATTTACACTCCTGAACAAAGGGAGTCCCCTCCCTCCCTCTTGGCCCTCTTGTGCTCCTGGCTCTCTTGTTGCAGGGGGCATACTCCCTTACATTTGCCTGTGGCTCCCACCCAGTGGACTAAAGGACTTTTACTAATCTGATGCTACATCCAGCCCAGGTCCATCATGGAGTGGAAACTCTGTCTATGCTTTTAGCTATATTGAAGGCCCGGCTACACATTTCCCAGGACTGGTTTAAGGGAAATGGAGCTTTTAAAACTGAGGGATATAATTTCACAGGAATAAACCTTTCTACCACATCTCATTCTCCCGTGAGTCTTAGAAAATTCTTTTTCTCAAGATATCTCAAGAACCACATTCCCACTCCCAACTTTACTGTGGCTCCCTAACTGACACGATGCTTTAACCTAGCGCCATTTAATCTGGAATATTGTTGTGTGGCCTATTTTCAGTGTCCCGAAATACCAGACCTGGTGATACTGATCTCATTCCCTGTTCTTTACCCTTAACAAACCCATGTTAAACAATTTTTAAAGAGTTTGTAGAAGTCGATTGAGAAACACGTGGTGATTACACTGACTTCTTGCTTAATGACTCAGGTAGTTAAACTATTAACAAAAAAGCTGCACATACCATCTTTGGAAACAATTACAGAACTATATAATTTCTTTATGGTGAAGCTTGATTATGTTTTAGCAACTGCTTTGTTTGCCCATGGCCTAAAGACTTGTTGATCTTCTCATTTCTGCATTGGACATTATTTTTCAGCTCCCCTTTTAATTGTCAATTTTATAGTAATATTGATGTTTCAAGTATATATGACTAGACTGAAAATTATTTTTTTAAAAGTGGTTCTACCCTGGCTGGTGTTGCTCAGTTGGTTGGAACATTTTCCCAAAAGGTGACAGGTTCAATTCCCAGTCACAGTACATACCCAGGTTGCTGGTTTGATGTCTCCTTTTCTTTATTCCTCTTCCTCTCTCTCTCTCTCTCTCTCTCTCTCTCTCTCTCTCTCTCTCTCTCTCTCAAATCAATAAAAACATATAATTAAAAAGTGTTTTTTTTCCTCCTGTTTGCCTTTGTGCTTGGCTTAATTACATATATGCATATGCCAGTAGTTGCTTAACCTGTTAACTGGGGAGTTCCCTTTTTAATTATGCAATGTACAATGGGCACATACTCTTTCACTAGGATGTGTCAGTACGTCACACCCAGTGGACGTAATTTTATATTATTTTTTTATTTATACTTAATTAAAATAAATGAAATATATATATATATATATATATATATATATATATTTGTTTATTTATATATAAAGCACAAAGGAAAATACAAAATTACAAACAAATAGAAAAGAATACCAACAAAAATTGGAAACATTGAATTAAAAAGTTATAAATTTTACAAACAATTATAAAGATTACAAAAAATATATATTTTTTATTTCTATACACAATAAAAAATATAAAAAAGTTAACAATTATAGAACAATAAACAAAAGCACACAAATAAAATAGAAATATTGAATTTAAAAAATTGAAATATAGATGTAAAAATTCAAAACTCAACTTCCGTGTGATATATTTTAAAACAATTGTTGATACATAGTGCTATTGATACCTTACAATCTGGACACCAGAATGTAGATTCTTTCCTAACACCTTTTTTGTAGCAAACTTGGCATTTCCTGGATTTAGTTTTTCCTATATTGCTTTTCGTTTGTTCTGGAAAATGCCTTTCAACTAAACGTGATGGTTTAGATGTGGAGCTGCTTGTTGATGTCTTTGGGTGAGTTTTCACTATGTTGTTACCTACCAATTTCTCTACACACTCTATCAAAAAGTGTAATTGATCCAAATGACCTTTATCTTTTTTGTATATAATATATGCATTGAAGCAGCACATATCAATTAATCGTAGAATTTTTTTTTATATTTGACATTCAATATTTTATTAGTTCCAACTAGTACAACATAGTGATTAGACATATACATCTTATGAAGTGATCACTCTTATGTCTACTACTGCCCATCTGACACTATATGTAGTTATTGCAATAGAAATTTTTTTTTTTTTTTTTAACGGACACGAAGGCAATTTATTAACAGAAAATAATTTGAGGAGTCCTGTTCACAGACGGCGACCACGGCGACCCCCCTTTCTGCGGGTGCTGTCGGAGGGGATGGGAGTGACATCCTCAATCCGTCCGATCTTCATTCCCGAGCGGGCAAGGGCTCTTAGAGCTGACTGGGCCCCTGGTCCAGGAGTCTTGGTCCTATTTCCTCCTGTGGCCCGGAGTTTGATGTGAAGAGCGGTGATGCCCAGCTCCTTGCACCTCTGGGCTACATCCTGGGCAGCCAACATGGCAGCATATGGAGAGGACTCGTCTCGGTCAGCCTTTACCTTCATCCCACCAGTCACACGGCAGATGGTTTCCTTGCCAGAAAGATCAGTGACATGGACAAAGGTGTCATTGAAGGATGCAAAGATGTGGCAGACACCAAATACATTTTCTCCTTCAGCCACCTGAGGTCCGAGGCTGATGACCTGTTCTTCCTTCTTTTCCTTCCCCTTTCGAGGTGCCATTTCTGCGTGTCTCGTCCCAGAAAAAATTTTTTATAAAATTTTTTTACCCTATTACGGGCAGCCGTGTAGGCCACCATAATTCCATCTCCCAAATCACCAACCGCCCATATTCTTGTTATAATCTAGGACAACATTAGGTTTTTCTTGCCTTCTTCCTCTCTTTTCAATCATTATCTTTTCGTCATTATGAATAGAACTGAGCATCACTACGTCTTTTTTATCCTTCCATTTTAAAACCATAAGTTTGTCTTTGATTCTCACTATATGTTCATTTTTCTGTATTTTTTTTTGTTTTTATTTCACTGGGGATTCCGACTCTGTTTATCCTCATTGTTCCAACAATGTCTGTATTGTTTTGACACAAGAGTTCAGCCAAATGAATTGACGTACAGGAATTATCTAAGAAAATCCTATACCCTTTATTCAGTAAGTCATGTGTTAACTCCAAAACAATTTTTGTTGATTGTTTTTCTTGTGGGTAGTTCGAACCATAATTTGTGTCCTTGCCTGTGTATAAAATTATATTTTGTACGTATCCAGTTTGGCTTTCACTCAAAATAAACAACTTCATTCCAAATCTAGCTCTTTTTTGTAGATATATATTGTTTCCAAGATAAATTCCCTTTCCATAATAAAAGAGATTCATCTATGCATATTTCTCGTTCACATACATAAAAACTTTTAAACTTTTCTGACAAATTATTGATGATTAGATCAATTTTATATGTTTTTCTATAATATAAAGGTTGGAGATATAAAAAATATAAGTAAATAATATATAATATGAAAATAGGTAGGTAAGTGTAAGTACGTAACCGTCACTGCTCACCCAGAACACGTCCACCACTCTCAACAGCGAAATTATACTGATTCCCTCCGTGTCTTAAATTCATGTCGAGACATGTATGGATGACTAATACCTTTGTTGTTTGGAAATATACTTCCCGCCCGGTTTAGGGCGCAACATATATTTCAAGGACGTATTCATATGTCCTACTCCTACCCCATATTGTTTATGTTTGACGTATTTATACGTCCCGCTCGGTTAACAGTTTAAAATACACTTTTTGGCCCTAGCCAATTTTGCTCAGTTTTTAGAGCATCATCCCACAGACTGAAGAGTTGTGGGTTCGATTCTCAGTCAAAGGCACGTACCTGGGTTGTGAGTTTGATCCCTGACTCTAGTCAGATTGCAAATGGGAGGCAACCAATCCATGCGTTACTCTTACATTGATATTTCTCTTTCTCTTCCTCTTCTCCCTCCTTCCCACTCTTTCTAGAAATAGATGGAAAAAATATCCTCAGGGGAGGATTAAAAAATAAACACCTGTTGGAATAATATGTGAAATAGTTCATTATCAGGCAGCATCATGCTTAAAAAAACAGTTAACACAGTTAAGATTTTGGAAAGTTTCCAATGTCCAATGATAAATGGACATGATGAAAATGGAAACGAAACTATCCAATGACTTTATTGTAATGTGGCAAGGCAGTAGTTCCCAAAGTATGGTTTCCAGACAAGCAAAACTATAATTTATAGTCAATTAAATTTACCAACTTTAAGTCCAGCATGTTTTGACAAATGTAAATAGTCTTAGAAAATACTGCTACAGTCAAGACATGGGATAGTTCCATCATCTCACTGAATTCTACTGTGTCCCTTTAGCTGGTTTCCTCCCCAATCTCAATCTCTAAAACCATTGGTCTTCTGTCACCATAGTTTACCTTTTCTAGAATTTCTCATCCTTGAATTAAATAGTATGTACTCATCTTATGTCTCACTTCTTTCACTTTGCATAATGCTCTCAAGATTCCTTCACTGCTGCATGTATTAGCAGTTCCTCTTTGTTAATTGTTGAATAGTATTTTACTGTATGAATATACTACAATTTGTTTATCCATTCACGAGTCCATAGACATTTGGTTTATTTCATGTTTTGGCTACTATGGAAAAAGTTGGTATATTTGCATACATTTTGTGTGAATATATTTTAAGCTTTCATGCTTAAATACCTAGAAATGTAGTGGCTAGCTTACATATTAGGTTATATAGTTAACATTTTAAAGAAATTGACAAACTTTTCAAAAATCAGCTTTACTATTTTGGATTTTCAATGGCAACATCTGAGAGTCCCAGCTGTTCCACATCCTTACCAACTCTTGTTAATTTTAGCCATTGTAGTGGGTACAGTGAAAATCCTGATTTCCCTGTTGATATTCTGTGTGCTTATTGGCCATTTGTGATTTATTTATTTATTTTTTAAGTGGTGTCCAAATCCATTTAAAAAAATATATATTTTATCGATTTTTTACAGAGAGGAAGAGAGAGAGAGAGAGTTAGAAACATAAATGAGAGAGAAACATCGATTAGCTGTCTCCTGCACACTCCCTACTGGGGATGTGCCCGCAACCCAGGTACATTCCCTTGACCAAAATAGGACCTGGGACCTTCCAGTTCACAGGCCGACGCTCTCTCTACAGAGCCAAACGGGTTTCGGCAAAAGATGTAAAACTTTTTAAAAAAGTTTTTTATTGATTTCAAAAAGAGAAAGGGAGAGGGAGAAACATTAATGATGAAAGAGAATCATAGATCGGCTGCCTCTTGTGCACTCCCTCCTGGGGATCCAGCCTGCAACTTAGGCTTGTGCCCTGACCAGGAATGGAACACATGACCTTTTGGTTCATGGTTTGATACTCAACCATGAGCCACACTCTCTCTGTGAGATGCACACTTTTTAAGAAAAATCTTGTTCATGTATATTAGGATGAAAGAGACATATTTCAAAGAGGAGTTGTAAAATTTGCAGAACTAAAGATGTGCTGAAGTAAAATATTCTTTAGAATTGAAAGTCAGACTATCTCTAGGAACAATGCTAAATATGACCTAATAAATGCAAATTTTATATCTATAATCCACTCAAGATTTGGAGTTTTGGTTTGGGGAATATTCAATTGTTTAATTAGGAAAGAAAATTTTCAAACATTAGCTTTTTAAAAAAATAACCATTTTTGTTTCATTTGGCAACAGAAAACATATTTTCCTTTTTACCTAGCAGCTAAATCTGGTTTCCAAACTTTATTCCAGAAAATTATTTTAGGCATAAATTCCTGTAACTTTTAAATTCTTTTCATAAAAACGTCTCAATTCAAGCCTAGAAAAATCCTTTTAGATTTAGGTTTTACATATAAATCCTAATGGATATCTCTAAGGTTTTGAATGGTCAGCCCAAATCCCATAGCTCTTAGTTTAGAGATGATTGTCTTCCTTTATGGAAATTATTATGTCTCTCAAACTTGAATGAAATTATGGCTTGCTAATTTATTGAAGGATGAAAGTAATTAAACATACAAATTTTACCTGTAGGTTGTAAGCAGTATTTGAGTCCATTACATTTCCATTGTGTCAAAGTAGAAGCTATATTTCAAACTAGATACATTCCTTAAACGACATTTTTAAAAAAGAGAGTCCATGGGTATATGACTTCTCATAAATTCTTTCTTTTCACTTAGTTATTACAATAGCAAGAGGTTAAACATAATGCCCCAAATAAAGTTTTACATATTGAATGAAAAAAAGTTTCTCACTCAGAGCTTTCATAATATTTATGAACTATATTTTTAAATAGGTTGCTTTATATTTTTGTTTTGCATGTTGCTTTCCTCAAAACACTAAATTTAGATTGCATTTAACGAGTTTTGACCAAATTTTAAATTCTCAACCACTTATAACTGTTAGTGAGAATTGATATTGGAATAACATTATCTCTAATATTCATTAGGTTTGTTTCTATTATTCATCCAGTATAGGGAAATTCTACCTTAAAGTTTCTTAGGTAGAATTCCTATTCTTATTTTCTTCATCCAATTAGAATTCCTAAATATGCTAACCTTCTTATTTTATTCACTCTTAATTTTCAATAAAAATTTTGACAATAAGTTAATTGTATCCATGGTATGCTAATATCAGACAATAATATAGAAAATAAAGGGAGAGAGCTAGAATGAGGGGTGGGGGGAGAGATCCAGTTATATCAAAACATTCTCTGTAAGCATATGTAAAACTAGTTTTATTTCTGATTGTTTAAAACTAAATCATGCTTCTTGAATTTATTTTTACTTTAATTTAAGACTTCATTTACTTGATATTTAAAATGTGAATAGGTTTATGATATTCAGTGATTTTTAATACATTTAATTTTTATATTCTTACAAGTCCATGCTGTGACAAATAGTAGAATTTATTTCCATTTAAAGGCTGAATAATACTTTACTGTATGTATGTACCACCTGTTCTTTATCCATTCATTTATTGGTAGACCTGAAAGACATTATGCTAAGTAAATTAAGTCACTCACAGAACAAGTAGGTCATGATTCCTCTAATACGAGTAAAGGTTTAGAAGTAGATAATAGAACAGTGATTAGCAAGGATGGAGTAGGCAGGTGTGTAAAGTTACAGTTACAGAAGATGAATATGCTCCACAGATCTGCTATACAACATAATGCCTATAGTAAACAATAGCGTATTATATCTTTAAAAATTTGCTAAGAGGGTAGGTAACATATTTTTTTTAAATTTACTTTTATTGGTTTCACAAAGGAAGGAAGAAGGAGAGAGGTAGAAATATCAATGATGAAAGAGTCATTGATTGCTGCCTACTGCGATCATAAGTCCTGGGCATATGTCCTGATCAGGAATCAAACCCTGACCTCCCAGTTCACAGCTTGATGCTCAACCACTAAGCTATGCCAGCTGGGTATAGATCACATATTAAGTGTTTTTACCACAAAAGACACACAAACAAAAAACCAGCAGAGAGAGATAAGGAAACTTCTGGAAGCGATGGATATGTTTATTTCCTGGACTGTGTTGATGGTAACCTGAGTGTATACATATGTACAAACTCACCAATTGTATACAGTGTTTTGCATACCAGTTATCCTATCTAATAAAGAGGGACTGTGCTAATTGACTCTCATGCCGTCACAAAGGTGGTGGTGACAACAGCCAATAAGGAGGA